AGAAAAAGGAGCTTGTGAAATTTTAATTCTTGGCTTTAATTTTACATGAGATTGAGCCATTTTCCTGGGAAAATGAAGATACAGCGAGTCTTCTTTACATTCAGTGTACGGCACCACCTGAGAGGGACTGTAGTAGCCTCCCTGGGGAAGAAGCATGGTGACGTTACCATTCAAGAGTTTCAGGGGACCGAGATTGGGGAGCCACGGCCACGGTGACTAAGAAGGTCATTTGTGACAAGGCTTCAGCACCTTCTTGCTTGAGCCTTCACACAGATGCTGTCGTTTAGGCTCCATCTCCAGGGAGAATGGGAAGGATGACTTATTGTGGGATATTTTTATTTCAAATGATTACTGAAAGGACAAAAATTCATTAAGTTTTGATCTAGAAAAGACCTTCAAGCCCTGCTCAAATCCACCTTCATATTCTTGTGTATAAAAATCCTTGTCAGGAAACTTGCAGCTCAATACAGAGATTAATTGCAACGAATGTCCATGGCTCGTAAGACAAAAAGAAGGCTGCATCTAGCAAAAGGGCCACAGATTAAAAATGTTCTCTCCTAACATGGCCTCAAGAAACCTAATCACATTTATGAAAATGCTTGCTTCTCAGATTTTTCCTAGGCAGCGAAATTGCCCCTCATGTATAACACCCATCAAGGTGGTAGGAGTGTGGATTACTCTACAAGCCCTTTCGGTTGGTTTAGCCACTGTAAATTGAATCTCTTTGTATAAATATGGACAAATGTATCTGCGTTGATTGGTACAGTGACTAATCTTATCTTTTGGAAGTACCCCCTGGTCTTCTGCCACAGAGAAATATCCACTTTTTATTTTAACATTTAGGGGATGTGTGGACCCCTTTGTAATCTGACTCTGAAAGCTGTTTGCGCCCCAAACCAGAAGATATTTATGGAGAGAAAAGAGCGCCCCCTAGTGAAACATGTTTCCCAATATTCCTTCAACCCTGAAGTTCCATCTTTTTCCTGCCAGAGACTATCTGGCCCCACCCAGGCGATTGCATTTTAGAGGCTGAGGCCCAGTGCTCTTGATTGTTTGAGAGCGGAGAAAAATTTGTTGGCTCCAAAATGTTTTTAAATTTCAAAACTGAGGGCGCCTGGGTGGCTCAGTAGTTAAGCATCTGCCTTCGGCTCAGGTCATGATCCCAGGGTCCTGGGATTGAGTCCCGCATCAGGCTCCCTGCTCGGCAGGGAGCCTGCTTCTCCCTCTCCCTCTGCTGCTCCCCCTGCTTGTGCTCTTTCGCGCTCTTTGTCAAATAAATAAAATCTTTAAAAAAAAATTTCCAAAACTGAATTAGTAAATTTGATTAAATGTCTACAAAATGGGACGTTATCAACTGCTCACAAGCAATTCAACTCTCAGTGATTTATAAATTACATTTAATGTGTGATATGGATTTTATTTTAATATTTTCTTTTTTTATATTTTATTTATTTATTTGACAGAGAGAGAGAGAGAGAGCAGGGGCAGCAGCAGAGGGAGATGGAGAAGCAGGCTTCCCGCCGAGCAGGGAGCCCAATGTGGGGCTCGATCCCAGAACCCTGGGATCATGATCCGAGCTGAAGGCATTCGCTTAACCAACTGAGCCACCCAGGCGCCCCTTTAATATTTTTTATGATGAAGAACAGGGCCTATTAAAGTAAGAGTTAAAGGCTTATTTTCCAAAGAGTTGACCTCTCAAACACTCTTCATAACTATTGGCGTGGTCCATCTAAGTCTTGACATTACTCTCTTAACGACATTAAAAACAATACTTTCTACTTGCAAAGTGCTTGCTAAAATTTACTCATACTCCCATTTAATCCAGTTAATCTTCACAACAGTAATTAGGAAAGAAGAGATTAAAATTTTTGGATAAGGTTATTTTGTTTTCCTTTTTCTTCTTTTTCTGCCAAATTGCAAAATATTACAAAATCTGAAGAAAAAAATCAGAATCAAAACAGATTAACAAACACAGTTCAAGTGAAAACAAACTACTAATTTGAAATGACATATGTAGACTTTGATGGGGGACAATACATAGCATGTGGCTCAAGTCAAATACTCTGAATAGGGACAGTGTTACCTGGGACAAGTTTCCTAACTTCTCTGTGCCTCAGTATCCTCTACTGTAAAATGGGGATAAAAGAGTACTTACCTCACAGGGCTGTTGTGATGTTTAAATGAGTTCATGTCTGAAATACCTAGAACAGTGCTTGGCACATAATAAGAGTTCAGTGATTGCTAGCATTTAATTATTATTCAATCAAACCATATCAATCTTTGATTCTCAGAAATACAACAATTTAAGATTTTGGACAAATTAACTCTCAACAAAACAACTGAAAACATTCACCCAGTCATGCCTCTTTTATTCTGAAACTTTACCTAGAAAAAATTACAAAAAGAAAAGTAGTACTAGGATCCCTCATGTACCCCTTACCCAAATTTGCTTATTGTTAACATTTTATTCATTTGCTTTACCATTTGCACTGCAGATCACTGCAAATCTGGGTCCCTACTTCTTACTTATAATTTATGATGTATTCCTTTTCCATCTCTTTCTTTTTTGCATTTTCTGTTTCTGAGTAACAAATTACTACAAGTTTGGTGGCTCAAAACAACACTGTTTTTAAGTTCACAGTTGTATAGGTCAGAAGTCTGGGTTCTCTGGTCAGGGCTTCCAAGGCTGAAATGACAGTATTGCCCAGGTTGAGTTCCTTTCAGGGATTCCTTTCTTTGTTGTTGGCCAAATTGAGTTCCTTAGAGCTACAGGAGGAGGTCTCCATTTCCTTGTTGGCTGTCAACCGTGGGCCGCTCTCAGCAAACAGAGGTCACCCACCTTCATTGCAACATGGCTCCAGTCATCTCCAGAGCCAGCAGTGGAGAATCTCTTTCATGGTAAATCCTTTTCATGCTGTGAATCTTCCACATGAGGAAGAAAAACCGAGTTTGTTTTAAAATCTCACCTGATTAGGTCAGGCTCACCCAGGATCATCTACCTTTCTTGAAGTTGACTGGGACCTTAATTAGATCTGCAAAAACCCTTCACAGTAGCACCTAGATGAGTTTGAATAAATGGGAGAAACTGTATATGCATCAGGAGGGTGGGAATTTGGGGAGCCATCTCAGAATTCTGCCTACCACCTATGATGAGACCCTTTATGATTCTATGTATTAGTTGGCTAGGGCTGTCACAGCAAAATAGCACAGACTGAGTGGCTTAAACAACTGAAATTTATTTTTTCACAGTTCTGGAGGCTGAACACCCACGATCGACGTGTCAGCAGGTTTGGTTTCCTGAGGCCTTTCTCCTCAGCGTGTAGATAGCTGCCTTCTCACTGTGTCCTTGCATGGCCTTTTTCTCTGTGCACGTGCATCCCTGGTGTCTCTCTTCTTCTAAGGACAGCAGTCATATTGGATTAGAGCTCTGACATATGAATTTGAAGAACACAATTCAGTACCTAAGAGTCTAATAACAAAACCAAGAGGCTAGTCTCTCAGCGACCAGGCAGGAACTGTGCTAAACATTTTTCGTAGGCAGAATTGTAACAAAATTACATGTCATTATAAACCATTATATAAAAGTCAGCTTTATCAAAACGTTTCCTATATTCTTGATTAGAAATTCTGTAAGATTTCTATTGTGATCTGATTGTGAGAGCCATCTATCTTTACCATAATGTTTCCCATGCTTCATTTTTAAAATGATTTTATTTATTTCAGAGAGAGGAGAGAGAGTGCCCGCACGAGCTGGGGGAAGGGCAGAGGGAGAAGCAGACTCCCTGCTGAGCAGGGATTCCCACACCAGGACCCTGACCTGAGCTGAAGTCAGCTGCTTAACCCACTGACTCAGCCAGGCGCCCCACCCACCCACCCCCTGCTCCATTTCGAGGGCAGCTTCATTCACCAGTGAAGTTTTACTGATTATCTATGAGCTTGGTACAGAAATACAAAGATGAGTAATCAAAATTCCTGCTCTCAGAGAGTATAGTCTAACAGGAAAGACATCTTTTATGTGTGTCTCCATGTACATGTTGAAATCTCTTACATTGAAAGTGTCAATTTTATTTATAGAACCATCTGCACATTTAAGTTCTTAGGAGAGCTGAGGCATTGAAAATTAAAATAATGATTTCAAGAAAGGGGCAACTCTGAATATCTGGTTTTTGTATTATCTTCTTGAACTGCCTCAAACGGTGGCAGCACATTTGATTGTATGAAGCTTTATATTTTTATATATTTTATTTTAATTCCACTTCGGTTAACGTACAATTAGTTTCAGACTATAGGTAGTTTTAGACTGAATGCTCTGTGATTGGAGGAAGAACACCTGGGATTTGAAGGCGAGAAGCAATCATAACGTAAAAGTACTACACCTGACTGCATAAGGGTGTGTCAAATTCCACTCGCTCTGTTCAGGAGAGCGAGAGAGAGAGAAAAAATCCCTTAAAAAGGGGGGGGGGTGAGGATACCGTTCATTTCCTCATTGTCCAACGCGTTCACCTTTTATGCTGCGAACACCGAGACCCCTGCCCTGGAGGCAAAGGCGTGAGCACGTGCAGGTACTGAAGGAAAGCTCCAGATCTGCGGGCCAAGCTGCTCCTCAGCTGTGGGCGGAGTGCGGTGATTGCACGCTGGAGAGGGGCCCCTTCCCTCGCGTCTCCTTGCACGCTCCCCACTCTCCCGCTCTTCCCAATGGCCTGTGGGCCCGGGGCTGAGTTCTGCGTCCCCTCCCCGGCTCTTGCCTCGGTGTGCGCGGTCTGCAGCAGCGTGGGCTGGGCGGAGGCTGAGGCCAGGGACCCGCGCGACCCCTATCCCTGCCCCACCTCGCCCCCACCTTAGGCTCCGGGCCCCGACCCCCCCGGCCCCGCCTAGCCGCGTGCGCCCGCCGGGCGGATAAATGGCTTGCGCGCCACGTGCGCTCAGTCGGGCTCCGCCGTAGCTCGACTTGCCTGGGCGCTTCCCCCTTCTCAGCCCTTCTAACGGTGAGGCCTCCACCCATGGAGGAGGAGCAGACGTACCTGGAGCTCTACCTGGACCAGTGCGTCGCCCAGGTGAGCCCGGAAGCCGCCGCCGCTGTCCGGGGGCCAAAGCGCGTCCCCGCCCGGTTGCTGAGCGCGCCCAGTCCTGAGCGCTGAGGGCTTTGCCTTCAGTAGCCCGTACAGAACTCCTAGCGACCGTCAGAGGTGGGCTTGATGGTCCTCGTCTTTAAGTTGAAAAATAGAAGCTTCGAGAGGGGAAATAACACGCCACGGTTGCCAACCAGAAGCGGAACCTGGTGTAGTGTGACTGCAGAGCCATGGTTAGATGGTCCCGTCCCGGTTAGAAAGACGCGGACACGGAGAGTTCGCTTCTGTGTCTCCTGTAGGGACCTCTGGTTCCCAAGTGTCCCCGCTTTGCTAAGGGAAACGTAGGCGGACTACCCCGCGCAGCGTTGGTATTGCACTTTGAAGGGGTGGCAGCCTTCGATGCCAAGAACAGGCCTCAAAAAATAGTCTCTAGGGACAGGTGGGGGGGTGTCGCAAAACTTGAATTGGAGACACCTGTGGCTTTCAGTGCGTGGTTCTTGGTTTTTTGTTTGTTTTGTTTCTCAATTTAAAAAATCTTTAGAGTCAAGTATTGTAGAAGAGTGAGAGCAAGGAGTCCTCAAGAAGAAAAGTGCAACTTTCTGTATGGGGGATTTTAAAAAAGACGACGATTAGCGCCGAAGTAGAAATAGTGAGGCCTTCATTGCGTTTAACATAGCAAATGAAAGCCCACGCAGGAAAGATGAGTTGATGGTTCTGGCAAAAACAGCTTAGCAAAAATTTTCTGCAGATATAAGGCCAAAGACGTGGTGGATATGCTGTAAGTACATCCTGTGCGGTGTGTTCCTACGGTCCACCAGAAAGGCTGTCAAACTTCCCTTGCCATAAAACATCCCCCTTCCGTATCTTGCTGCCATTGCCTTAGATTGATAGTGGAAGTTGGGTTTCCTTGGGTGAGTGCTTCCTCCCTGCTAAAATGCCAGGACGGGAAAAAGGAGGGGAGACACGGATTGTTGCAGATAGGAGTGCTTTAGTGTAAACTGGCTGATGAGATCCTTTCCAGCTAGTACAGGAGAGGCCAGTGAGAGAATCCTGGCCATTTTCCCCACCTCACTTTTCTTAAAGCAGATCTGTGGGGTGGGGGTAAGTGGGGGAGAATTACATAATTCAAAATGAAACACAGTCCAAAATCTTATTTCAGGAGAATAACTGCATTCTTCTAAAGAAGTGTTTTCTTTGAACAATTAGTCACCCCTGCCATCTGCTGGATTTGGAGTAACAGAACAATTCAATAGGATCTAGCCAGACATTTTATGTTAGCTAGAGGTAGCTTTGTCATGAAGATCCAGCACGAGACGTTCACGAATGTTCAGTTGTCCGAAGTCAGATCTTCTTAGGGATGAGGTTATCCTGCAAGCAGTGCTCAAAATCTGGAATCTAGGTCTACAGCTTGGACCAAACAGGTGGTAACATATGTATCAAGGTAATCGATTTTTTTCCATAGAAAAGCCCGTGAATTTTACATGAGCTGCTTTCCTCAGTTGCACACCTCATTCCCTCAGTTGATGGTAATGGAGGTTGAGCAGCCTTCCCCAGACTGAAAGTATAATACATTGATTTAAACTATTCTTGCCATTTAAATTTCAATAACTGTTTTCCTCTTGTAAATTCACCAAACTAGAATATTTGTTCATATCTCCTTTGACTAGAAGGAATAACCTTGGGTCTTCAGTGGAGTATTGATTAGCACTCAAGACCCTATCTTAAGCTTCCTTCACTTGTCTCTTTATAAACTATGAATTTAAGACTCTAAGAAATAGGGGTGCCTGGGTGGCTCAGTTGGTTAAGTGTCTGCCTTCAGCTGAGGTCATGATCTCGGGGTCCTGGGATCAAGCCCCGGGTCCGGCTCCCTGCTCAGTGGTAGAGCCTGCTTCTCCCTCTCCCTCTGAGCACCCCCCCCCGTTTTGTTCTCTCTCTCTCTCTCCCTCCCTCTCTCCCTCTCTCCCTCTTTCAGATAAATAAAATCTTAAAAAAAAAAAAAAGGGTGGAAAAACATGGAAAAATAACCCACTCAAAATTAATTTGGGATGTCTGGGTGGCTCAGTCGGTCAAGTGTCTGCCTTCAGCTCAGGTCATGATCCCAGAGTCCTGGGATCGAGTCCCACATTGGGCTCCCTGCTCAGCGGGGAGTCTACTTCTCCCTCTGCCTGCTGTTCCCCCTGCTTGTGTGTGCTCTCTCTCAAATAAAATCTTAAAAAAAAAAAAAAAGACTCTAAAAAATATTTAACTAAAGTTTGTAATCAAGGAATACAGTAAATCTATTCAAAGTACACACTATTTTTAAAAATTTTTTATTTTGTCCACTGAGGCATTTTATTTGCATAGATGTGTTACATCCCTAGAAAAAGAATCCCAGGATTTTCCCTCCTGTGTGTTTTTGTCTTGCTTTTTCATGGTCCATGATGCTAGCTGAGGTTGTCCATACGATGAAACTAAACTAGCAGGACAGGAACAGATTACTCTGCCATTTTTCTACATCTTTGAGTTGTACGTCAAATGTGGAGCTGATCACTCCACACTTGCCTAACCTGCCTGTGAATTTCACAATCTGTGATCATCAACGATTTCAAATTTGCCAGTGTAACCATGCTTCGTCATCACGGAAACCAGACAATGGCTTTGGAGCATGGCCTAATAAGAACCTGGCATTTGTTTCTCTTTTCAGCATTGTTAGTGCTCTTGAGAGCACCTGCCAGGGCATTCATGGGCACCATTACGGCAGCACAGAAAGATAGCAGGAAGAGGACCCAAAGTACACACAATTTAGAGTATGGTTGCTCAGTTGCCTTTATTACAAAATTAGACTTAGAGTGGCAACTTACAATGGATCTAATGTAGGAAAAACATTCTTTTGAAAAATGCTTTGTTTGCATTTTAAGATCTACTTTCCTGTTTCTATTAAGTGTGCTGCAACTCTGAAATCTAACTTTAGTGGTACTTTGTGGAAAGAGGCAAGGCGTGAATGTAAGCTATCTTGGACTACTGGGCCTCTTGAACACACTGCCTGCCAGCTATAGTGGTTTCCCTTTGGTGTGACTTGCTGTTCTGTTTCTTGCATTTTGTTTTGGGAATGGCCTAGGATGACCTCGCTCCGCCCAGGTCACCGCTGCTCAGTCCAGTTGTACCTGATGATGTGTACATGCCTAATTCATCCCATCCAGAGACTGTGTTTAATTCACATCTTGAAGAAGTCAAAGAAACATCTGGCCATTTCTCATCTGTGGATCTTAGCTTCCTGCCAGATGAACTTACCCAAGAAAATAAAGACCAGAGTATCATTAGAAGCAAGCATGAAATTGAAGAAAATTATAAAACTCAAAGTCAGCAAAGTAGGTTGTCATTACCCAGAGAGCAGGACATTGGTCTGGGCTTAATAAGCAACAGCAGTTTGTCGAATTCGCATTCACATCTGTACCCTGGTGATGCTGACTCAGTCCAGTCCTCTCTTGAGAAACCAAACTCCATGCCTCTGGTGTCCATAACTCCCATGACACCACTGACCCCTGTTTCAGAAAGTTCTGGAATTGTGCCTCAACTACAGTAAGTTGTTTGTGTGTGTATGTGTGTGTTTTTAACAGGTGATGCTCCTGGGTACACATTTTATGTTCCCGAATATAATGACAACTAATTTCAGAATAATAGTGTAAGGAAGAGAACTTCAGGTTTAATTATTTATCTGTTCTTAATGTATTGTGGCTTTAGACAGTTTGGTTATCTGTAAAATAAAGTACTAGTTCTTGATCTCCTAAGAGAAGCTTAAGAGTTAGTATATACGTTCTTGAAGGATTGTATTGTTTATACTAAAGTATGGTAATTGCTGAGAATTGTGGTTGGGGTTGGATAAACACAAAGAATATAAAGACGTAAAATGAAATTCAGTTTGCAATTGATTTGGAATTATGCTTTCTATTTTGAGGCATGGTTTTGAAAAAGATTTCAAACTTGCTTTTAGTCAGCTAGCCATGACATTTTAGAAGAAGATATTTTTGTACTTCACTTTGCAATCTTTTACATTTTACTAGGGTTTGTCACGTTACTGTGTATTTCACATTGAGAATAATTCTCCTCCTAGGAAGTTGCTAATATACAATCTATAAAATGAGAAAGTTAATACATTTTAATTCTTTTTTACTTTTTATGTCTGATTTAATTTTCTAAGTTGACTTATTTTTTCAGGAATATAGTTTCCACTGTAAACCTGGCCTGTAAATTGGATCTGAAGAAAATAGCTTTGCATGCAAAAAATGCAGAATATAACCCAAAGGTGAGATTTCTTAGTATTCCTTGCCACAATTAGCTTCTACTTAGATTTACTTCATATGATCATGTTATTGACTCACTCCTTTGTTTTTGTTTTTAAAACAAAAAAAAATTGTTAGTGCAAACCTTTTGGCAACTCAAGAGGTTATTTGCCTCATTGTCTGCTTTGAAGTTCTGAAAAATAACCTCATTCTCTGTGATGAATAAAGCAGTGATTGAGCAGTTCCTAAAAGTTAGGATTTTTCCCTTGTCATTTAAAGATTTTTCAGTATGACCACTTTCAGCCTATGGAGACGCTAACCTTCTTAAAATGCCATCATAGTTCTGGAAATAGTGTTTTCTAAATGTTGTCCCACCTAAATTTTTCCATTTACAATTTCTCTTGCTTGAGAAAGGTAAATAGTTTAAAGGGTGAAGTTCAAGCTTCTACTTACTAATGTAAGATTTAGGGATTTCTTTTCTCTCAAAGTCTAATAAAATCTACTCTTTCTTGTGTCCTGCCAAGACTAAGCATCCAATTTTAATGGCCTATTAACCGAGGAAGTAGATTTGTTCATTCAGTCAACATTTAGTAATTGGCTGGTCTCTGTACCTATGAATGCAAAGATGAGTAAGACCTTGTCCCTACGAGGGAAAAGTTCACTATCTTGGGGGGTGGAGGGTTTATGGCCTTAGATGAAAAAGGCTGTATTTGTAGAAATGCAGAGGACCTTGTGAGCATCAGCTATTTATGGATTAAGTTGTTTTGGCTGTTGTGGGAGTGTTCTTGCTGACCTCTGAATTTAAATGTACTTGAATATTAGCCAAATATTTCCTTTTTCCATTTCATGTAGCTGGCTATGATGAGCACAGAAACACAATGATAAGCTAGGATTCTTAGGGCCACAGCCATGACTGCACACACTATTAAATAGGCACATTTAAGCATATTTTATTGTCCATCATCCTCTGCTCTCCTTCATTTTATTTTTGTGTATAGGATCTATCCAAAGTTGGACTTGAGAGCCAGAGAAATTCTGGCTTGGCACTTAAGCTCCCTTCAGAATTCAATAAAATGAATACTGGGTTAGAGTATTATCTTAAACGCTTGGAAAACATTCACAAGATTCAATCAGCTCTGTGCAGTGCTGACTCAGGGTTCTTTCACTGTCTGTCAACATTTCAAATCTGAAACTGCCAGTCCCACCTTGGTCCTGTGGAACCCCTCCAACCCATGGAAGCTGCAGTCTTGCAGAATACTCACCCTGGTTTCCTTCGCAGCTTGCCAGGGGAAGATGAGCACAGAAGGGGGTGCCTGTGTAGGACCAGAAGGAGCAGCAGGTCTTTGGTGACATGTCAGTGTGGCAGGCCAGTCCTCCCCGGTACCCCTTGTATCAGCATCTCCCGGAGGGCCTGCCCATGCTGTTGGGCGGGGAACCACACTGAGAACTGAAAATCAATTTGTCCTTCATCTTCAGCATGCCTATCAATATATAAATTCTGTTCTATAGTTTGGCAATTTTTTTTAGTACATTCTGGAGTCTTGGCAAGCCTATAACATATTTTGTACTCCCCCCCCCACCACCACCACCCAATAGTCTTTGAAAGAAAAAGGAAGTATTTCAGAGTAAAAAGCACAGCATCTGACTAGTCGTGGCTTTAAATCTCAACTTTACCATTGCCTGTGTAAAGTGGGAAGTTAAATAACCACTTCGTTTCCCTGTGCACTAAATGGTGATGATCATGGACTCAGTTGAGCTCTATCCTGAGGATAAAGGAGACAAAACTTGTAAAGCTCTTAGTATTAGGCTTGAAAGAGAACAGGCACTCAAAATTTAGCTTTATTCTTATCCTTACCTGTTTTTTTCTAAGTACATTTTAGAATCATTGTTTTTGTTTACCTTAGCGCGGGGAGACATTTTTTTCGCTTTCCCATCCAATCTCCGTTTATTCAAGACTCTTTTTACGTCCAGCTCAGCTTTTCAACTGGAATAGTGTTAAAGCCTAGCAGAGGCTAATTGTCCTTTTGACTTCTGTGTATAGAGGTTTGCTGCTGTCATAATGAGGATCCGAGAGCCCAGAACAACAGCCCTCATATTTAGCTCTGGGAAAATGGTCTGCACGGGAGCCAAAAGGTATGTGGAACCACTCTCCACCCTTGTCAGACAAATAATTCAGTATATAAAACAAGGAAGGATAGTATTTATGTTCCAAAACACCTCGGAGGAGCGAAATACTTTGCCAAAGAGTTAAGTTCATGAAATGCCAAATTTGGGGTTAAAAACATTCAGTTGTGCAATACTGACTCCCGTCCGCTTTGCAGTCCCCCAATAAACTGAGGGGACTTAGGTGGGCTGTTAGAGCTTGATTTTAAGGTGCACTTAAAAGCTACCATAGTGATAAAGGCTGTTATAAGCCTGGGGAAGTAGTTATTGTATATTTTCCTTATTGCAGATAAACGGAGAGAACTTTTTAAAGGAGGTAAATTAGGTACTTTTGACCATTATCTTGAGCATTAGCTCAGGAGGCAACTCTTAAAAGGCTCCCTTTCCCTGGATCTCCTGCAGAGGAAGCCCTGTGCTGCTATAGATCCTTTCACCATCCAACTGTAGGGGGAGAGCTGCTCATTGCTTATGTGTTAGAAGATGAGTAGTAAATTGTCCTCCTGGAAGGCTGTATGAATTTGTCTTCACTCTACAGATATACCAAGATTCCTTTCCTCCAAGGAACACTGGGTGTTAATATTCTTTTTTATATTTGCCAAATGGTTTGGCAAAAAAAAAATAAAAGTGTTAATTACATTTCTTTGATTTGCTAGTGAGATGAACTTTTCATAAGCATGTAAACTGCCTACTGTGTCTTTTGCCCAATAGTCTATAGAATTATTGGTCTTTTGTAAACAGCTTTTTGTTTGTAAGTATTTGCACCGTTTTGTCCTATATATGTTATTTCCCAAATTACTGTTTATGGTGTTTTATGATTATTTTTTTATACAATTAACATTTTTGTGTATGTATAGTCCTATTTTTCTTTAGGGTTTTGATGTTTGGCTTCATGCTTAGGAAGGCATTCCCCATGTACAACATTATATAAATATTGACCTCTGTATATTTTTCTGGCCTTTTTCAGGTCCTGCTTTGTATTGAGGAAAAGAAGTTGATGTTTTGATTCAGTGTGAGCTTTCTCTAGGTGCTGGAGATGTTTTCCATGTGTGCTCTCCAGCGTGGTAGCCACTAGTTACATGGAGCTGTTGAACAGTTGAAGTATAGGTAATACACAGAGGAACTTAATTATTTTTTATTTTTTAAAGATTTTATTTGAGAGCAAGGGAAAGTGCACGAGCAGGGGGAGCAGCAGAGAGCAAGGGAGAAGCAGGCTCCCCACTGAGCAGGGAGCCCAACGCAGGGCTCAATCCCAGGACCCCGGGATCATGACCTGAGCCAAAGGCAGGCGCTTAACTGACTGAGCCACCCAGGCGCCCTGGAACTTAATTTTTTATTTAATTTTTATTTAAATATAAATAGCTACACTTGGGGGCGCCTGGGCGGAGTCCTGTGTTGGGCTCCCTGCTCAGCATGGAGTCTGCTTCTCCCTCCCTCTGCTCCTCCCCAAACTGCTCTTGTTCTCTCTCTCTCTCAATCTACCTTTCTCTCAAATAAATAAATAGAATTAAAAAAAGAAATAGCTATATGTGGCTAGTGGTTACCATATTGAGCAGAGCTGGCCTAGAATTTTATTTCACTAGAAGATAAATTTTTCTTTTCAAATGGCCAGTAAGTGACCTGATACATTTATTGAAGAATCCATATGTGGTTTTTTAGTGTAGTCGACACACAATGTTACATTAGTTTCATGTGACTCAACAGGTTTGTACGCTGTGCTATATTCCCCAGGAGTGTAGCTACCATCTGTCCTCATACAAAGCTATTACAGTGGCATTGACTATGTTCCTGTGCCTTTTATTCCTCTGACTTCTTCATTCCAAAACTGAAAGCCTGTATCTCCCACTCCACTCATTTTGCCCAAACCCCAGCCCCACTCCCCTTTGGCAACCATGAGTTTGTTCTCCGTATTTATAGGTCTGCTTCTGCATTTTTTTTAAGATTCCATACGTGAGTGAAATCCTATGGTATTTGTCTTTCTCAGTCTGACTTACTTCACTTAGCATAGTACCGTCTAGGTCCATCCATGGTGTCTCAAATTGGACAATCTCCTCCTTTCTTATAGCTGCACAACATATTGTGTATATACACCACATTTTCCTTATCCTCTATCAATGGACGCTTAGGTTGCTTCCGTATCTTGGCTAGTGTAAATAATGCTGCAGTAAACATGGGGTGCATTTATCTTTTCAAACTAGTGTTTTTGTTTTGAGTAAATACCCAATAGTGGAATTATTGGATCATATGGTATTTCTATTTTTAATTTTTTATAGGAATATTTTATTTGAGAGAGAGAGTGAGAGAGAGCAAGCGAGCACAAGAGGGGGGAGGGTCAGAGGGAGAGGCAGACTCCCCACTGAGCAGGGAGCCCAATGCGGGCCTTGATCCTGGGACTCCGGGATCATGACCTGAGCCGAAGGCAGTCGCTTAACCGACTGAGCCACCCAGGCGCCCTATTTTTAATTTTTAAAGGACTCTCTGTACTGTTTTCCACAGTGGCTGTAACAATTTACATTCCCACCAATAGTGTATGAGGGTTGCTTTTTCTCCACATCCTTACCAACAGTTGTTATTTCTTGTCTTTTTAATTTTAGCCATTCTAACAGGTATAAGATGATATTTCATTGTGGTTTTGATTTATATTTCCCTGGTGATGAGTGATGTTGAGCATCTCTTCATGTGTCTGTTGGTCATCTGTATGTCTTTGGAAAAATGTCTGTTCAGGTCCTCTGCCCATTTTTTAAATGGATTTTTTTTTTTGGTGTTGAGTTGTATAAGTTTTTTATATATTTTGGATATTAACCCCTTAACTGATATGTCATTTGCAGATATCTTCTCTTATTCAGTAGGTTGCTTTTTGGTGTGTTGGTGGTTTCCTTATTGTGCAAAAGCTTTTTATTTTGATGTAGTCCCAATGGTTTATTTTTGCTTTTGTTTCCCTTGCTTTTGGATACATATCTAGAAAAATGGTGCTGTGGTCGATATCAGAGAAATTACTGCCTGTACTCTCTTCTAGGATTTTTATGGTTTCAGGTCTTGAATTTAGGTCTTTAATCCATTTTTAGTTTATTTTTTTGTATGGTGTTTTAAAGTGGTCTGGTTTCATTTTTTTACATGTAGATGTCCAATTTTCCCAGCATCATTTATTGAAGAAACTGTCTTTCCCCGCCTGTTGTATATTCTTGTCTCCTTTGTTGTAGATTAATTGGCCATATAATTATGGGTTTATTTCTGGACTCTCCATTAATCCATATGTCCGTTTTTGTGCCTGTGTGTTTTGATTACTGCAGTTTTGTAGTGTATTTTGAAATCTGGTGTTGTGGTATCTCCAGCTTTGTTCTTCTTTCTCAAGATTGTGTTGGCTATTTGGGGTCTTTTGTGGTTCCATACAAATTTTAGTAGTAGTCTAGTTTTGTGAAAAACATTGTTGGTATTCTGATAGGGATTGCATTGAATCTATAGATTGCTTTGGGTAATATGAACAGTTTAACAATATTCTTTCAATTCATGAGCATGGAATATTTTTTTTCATTTGTGTTATCTTCACTGTTCTACAGTTTTCAGAGTACAGGTCTTTTGCCTCTTTTTGGATTAAGTTTACTCCTAGGTATTTTATTCTTTTTGGTGCAATTATAAGTGGAATTGTTTTCTTAATTTCTCCTTCTACTTTTTCTTATTAGTGTATAGATCTACCAATTTCTGGGTATTAATTTTGCATCCTGCAACTTCACTGAATCCATTGATTACTTCTAGTAGTTGTTTGGTGGAGTCTTTAGGATTGTCTATGTACAGTATCATGTCATCTGCACATAATGACAGTTTAACTTCTTTACCAGTATGAATGCCTCTTATTTCTTGTCTGATTGCTGTGTTTAGGACTTCCAGGATTATGTTGAATAAAAGTGGTGACAGTGGACATCCTTGTCTTGTTCCTGATTTTAGAGGAAAAGCTCTCAGTTTTTCACCATTGAGTATGATGTTAGCTGTGGGTTTTTCATATATAGCCTTTATTAGGTTGAGATAAGTTCCCTCTAAACCCACATTTTTGAGAGTTTTTATCATGAGTGGATGTTGAATTTTGTCAAATGCTTTTTAGCATCTGTTAAGATGATCAAATGATTTTTATCCTTTGTTCTGTTGATGAGGTGTATCATTTTGATTGATTTGTGAATATTGAATCCTTCTTGCATCCCCAGAATGAATTCCACTTGATCCTGGTGAATGATCTGCTTACTGTATTGGCATATGTGGTTTGCTAATATTTTGTTGAGGATTTTTCATCTATGTGACAAATCCATTCTTAATCCATTTCCCCCCACCTGTTTTTACATATTAAATTCTTTACATGTGTCTGGGTAAGTTTCTGGGCTTTCTCTTCTGTAGATCTGTGTATCCTTGGACCTAGAGATCTACCATTTTTAAGTCCTTATTGGACAACTCTGCAAGGTATCTGCAAGGATGTTCATTTCATCATTGTGTAAAATGGAGGGGAAAATAAAAATTAAAAAAATGGAGACAAATACCTAGTAATAAAGTTTTCATTAGGTCATAAAATAAAATTATATTTAGCTATTAAACATATACACATATATCAAGTTGGAAGGATAGTCACATTGCGTTGTAGTGGAACAGGCAACTAAATTATAAGTTTATTATCCAACTTTCACTTTAAAATATGCTATATTACAGGGTGCCTGGGTGGCTCAGTTGGTTAAGCGACTGCCTTCGGCTCAGGTCATGATCCTGGAGCCCTGGGATCGAGTCCCACATCAGGCTCCCTGCTCAGCAGGGAGTCTGCTTCTCCCTCTGACCCTCCTCCCTCTCATGCTCTCTGTCTCTCATTCTCTCTCTTGCAAATAAATAAAAAAAAAATTTTTTTTTAATTATTAAAAAATATATGCTATATTACAGACATATTCATGAGTATCTTTCCCTATCTGAATTTACCTGGTTCCCAAAATCTGATGGTGAAAGTTTGGATATTGAGTTCAGATAATAAGAGATACTCGTTACCCAAATCTATTTGGTTCTTGAATCTTGAATAGAGATTTGTGAAATTTTGGTTAGTCTAAGAGCTATCAGAATTATCTCCAAAAATGATCCAAACCTATTCCTTTTAGTTGTTAATAACCAGAGTTTGCTAGTGAAGGATACCTGTGTTTGCACAGGAAAAATACAAAAGGGTCAAATGTATTCCGTGGTTATCACCACTGGTGGTGACATTTCAAGGTTCTTACTCTATTTCCTAATGTTTGTACAAGAACATGCATGTAGACTTTAACCACAAGTTGTTTGAATGGGAATTTCTATGGTCCTATTCACAGCTACTATCCCACGAAACTACAGGGCTACCCAAACTTAAAATTTGACCTTATAAACATGAGCACAATGGGCAATGTAATGAGCCAATTAGCAAAATGTAGTTTTTCAAACTAGAAACTGTTTATTTCACTGCAAACTTGGGGACATGGTCTTGGTAGGGACCTATCAGGGTGAGGAGAAGCAATGTGGAGTGGAGTGAAATATGTGAAGGAATTAATACACATAAGAGGAGCTGTGTGGTGAAGGATCTAGGTAGGAAAGAGAATGGAATGCTTCCTTTAGTCCAGGCAAACAAAAAGTTCAATCTGGCTTTTCTTTCAGGTGTTTCTGATTTTCAACGTAAAGATGGGGCAACCCAAAAGAGAGGGTGGAGTTCACATGGTTCACCCACCAGGTTTTGCTCCTGTTTGGCAACCCCTGCTACTCATTGTTTTGTTTTGCCAAATATAGCCTCACATTGCAGGACTTCACGTTCTGTGACCTGGATTTAGGGTTGGAGCAAGACAAACACTTAGGAGAGTATGGCCACAAAGTTGAATGAATGTCTTTCTTTCTCATGTTGGGTGTGAGTTGAGTGACCATTCTTTGAGAAAGCCTGAGCAAAACTGGTTAGGTTTTGAGGTGTTTCATGCTTTTTTTTTTGTTTTTTGGGTTTTTTTTAAGTGTAATTTGTCACCTGAAGATCCAAGTCCTAGTATCCTGTCTTTGCCACCTGATTGGCCTAACTCTTACTTCCTCGTGTTGATTTTTTTTTTTAATTTTTATTTATTTATTTTTTAATTTTATTTGACAGCGACACAGCGAGAGAGTGAACACAAGCAGGGGGAGTGGAAGAGGGAGAAGCAGGCTTCCTGCTGAGCAGGGAGCCCGATGTGGGGCTCGATCTCAGAACCCCGGGATCATGACCTGAGCCGAAGACAGACGCTTAATGAATGAGCCACCCAGGCGCCCCTGTTTTTTTTTTTAAATGCATGTGTCTTTATTTTTGCTGCTGCTGTTCCCATCTAAGTGGCACACACTTTTAGACGAGATGGATAGTTCTCAGACTTTACTGAGCATCACAATCTGGAGGGCTTGTTAAAAATACAGACTGTTGAGCCCTAACCCCAGAGTGTCTGAGGCTGGGACCTTTGCATTTCTAACAAGTTCTCAGGTGGTGATGCTCCTGCAGATCTGAGGACACACTTTGAGAACCCGTGGAATAGTTAATTTTATCTAATAACATTTGAAACAAGAGAGAAAAATACCCTATATGTGGAAGATGACAAATTAAGATGAGAACGTGTTTATAGTTTGGTTTTGACCATTGTACCATACATTTTACTAGGTTCTAGGGACACAAGTAGGGGAGGGTGGTCCTTGTCCTCAACATCTACAGGTTTGTAATATACATTGAGAGAGAAACCTGGTACAAATGCTAAAAGTACAATCAGGGAAGTATGTGAATACAGCCTAAGCAGTATAGAGGACACAGCGATTAAGATCTCTTTAAACACATTTGTCCCTCCCTAGTGAAGAGCAGTCTCGACTTGCAGCGAGGAAGTATGCTCGTGTGGTACAGAAGCTGGGGTTCCCAGCCAGATTCCTCGATTTTAAAATTCAGAACATGGTTGGAAGCTGTGATGTGAGATTTGCCATCAGGCTGGAAGGTTTGGTGCTAACCCATCAGCAGTTCAGTAGGTATGACCTTTCTATAACTTTGAGTTTACCAAGATATTGAAGTTGTGTTATGGACTCCTTATATAGTGTACCTTTTGGAGAAAGTGGTGTTTTTCTTTTTAAAGACTGTAGGTGAAAGGATTAAGATGCTGTGCTTAAGTCCTTCTTTGGTTACTCTGTGTCCAATCTTCTGAAACAGCAGTCCTCAAAATTAAACTGTACAGTACTCACCTGGACCGCTTTTCTTTAAAAAACACTTTGCTACCAGGACTGCATCGTCACAGATGTTGCTCGAATTTGTAGTTCTAACAAGCTCACAGGTGATGTCAGTCCTTCTCACCAGAGGCTGGAGACTCACTACCGTGCAGATTTCTGAAACAGGCACACCTGCCTTGTGGGGGGTGAAGACCCTAGAAGGGAAGGGGTATGAGATGGGTTAGGCAGGTCGGAAGGGGCTGACAGCTGGCAGGGGAGAGAGGGCGAGGGAGAGGATGAAGAAAGAGTGGCCTAGCACATTCTGTGAAGGCAATGCTATCTAGTGTTTTTCCTGTTGGTTTCGAGGGGGTTTTGTGTGTTTGTGTCACGCTAGCCCCCACCGCAGTTTCTTCTTTAGTGGAGTCCTGCTCCTCAGGGAGCATCTGTAGGTTGCTTCTTCATGTGTAACTTCCATCTCATCAGCAAAGGCTCAGCATCCTCTTCCCTCAGCTGCTTTGGTGCTTCTCCCAGCCTGTCAGGCCCTCAGCAGTGATGGAGGGGGACGGGTCAGCCCTGGAGCCCACCACCCTGGGGCATATATAGCTGTCCAAGGCCACTGAGCTGCTTAGAATCACAGATGCTCTTAAATTCTCTTCCTCTAACTTGAACTTCTGTCCTTTCGCTCCCCTTTTCCCCCTCTTTGACTTAGAGTGGTCATTCCTCTTGAAAGAGTGAATAGAGATATCCTGTAGCTGTGCTTTATCTAACACTCATTGGCCTTCTTTTTGAGACACGGTCTGAACAGCTGTTAAAAATTGCTTTGTTTTTTCCTAGCTTTTCAAAAATCCAAGTTCATGCTGAGATTCGGCTTTGATGATATTCTTCAGGCAGTGTTTATTTTCCCCTTGATTGTATTTTTTCCTCTACATTAGTTGTTTTTTTTCCCCCCAACATATGCTTATTGGGTGCCTGTGATGTGCCCAGTGAGCTTACTGCAAAGCTCCCCATGCAAGAAATATTGCCTTTTTAGAGATCTTTTTCTTTCTTCAGTCTTGGGATGGGTTGTAAATTCATAGTAAAACCTTTCTTGTTAAGAGTCTCTCAACACAGGAGCTGTTTTTTTTTCCAGATTCTCAACCATGGGCCTCTGGTCTCTCTCTCTCTGAACCAACTTTTCCTAAATGTATGAAAAATCTCCGCCTGAATTCTGCCTGTCTGTATCAGATTTAGCACTCCACTTTCTGGCCATTAAGGGCTCTAAAATGATGTATGCTATTCCTCCCAAGTTTCTTGTCATTTCTTTTTCACCAAGATTGTCATCTTTGTAGTTCAGATTTAAGTCTAGAGCAGGAGTGCCTCTTCTCCCTACTCCCACCTACTGAAAGAGAATGGCCGGGCAAGATGAGACTTCATCATATGCACTGACTTTAGCCTCTTGGAGTGGGTCCATAGCTGTTCTATTTTCGTTCTGAAGCAGTTTTATTATCTCCTCCATCTTTAAAAAAAAAAAAAAAATTTAGCCACAGGGGTGCCTGGGTGGCTCAGTGGGTTAAGCATCTGCCTTCAGCTCAGGTCATGATCCCAGGGTCCTGGGATCGAGCCTTGCATTGGGCTCCCTGCTCGGCGGGAAGCCTGCTTCTCCCTCTCCCACTCCCCCTGCTTGTGTTCCCTCTCTCGCTGTGTGTCTCTGTCTGTCAAATAAATAAAATCTTAAAAAAAATTTAGCCAGAAAGCCTGCATTGTATTCCTACCACTATCTCTTTCTGGTCTTATTCTTGCCTCCTCCAAAAGTTTGCCAGTCAGGCTCCACCATTAGGTTATGGATTACAGCTCCAGTGTGTGTATTGATGACATTGGGGCATTAAAACACTTCTTTCTTAACAGGTTTATGTCTTTAAAATGAGGCCTCTCCTGGGGCGCCTGGGTGGCTCAGTCAGTTAAGTATCTGCCTTGGCTCAGGTCATGATCCCAGGGTCCTGGATTGAGTCCCACATCCGGCTCCTTGCTCAGCGGGGAGCCTGCTTCTCCCTCTGCCTCTGCCCTTCCTCCCTGCTTGTGCTCTCTCTTTCCCTCTGACTAAATAAATAAATAAAATCTTTAAAAAAAGTGAGGCCTTTCCTTAAGTGTCTGCAGCCCTATGGGGAACCATGGCACACATCAGTTGTAATTATTAGGTCAATTTCGCCTATGTTAAGGGGCGCCTGGATGGCTCAGCCAGTTAAGTGTCTGTCTTCAGCTCAGGTCATGATCTCAGGGTCCTGGGATCGAGCCCCATATTGGGCTCCCTGCTCAGCAGTGTGTCTGCTTCTCTCTCTTCCTCTGCCCCTCTACCCTGCTCATGTTTGCGCTCTCTCTCTCAAATAAATAAAATCTTTAAAAAAAAAAAAAGTTTGCCTATGTTAAGACCTCAAGTTCCTTTAATTCCCCTGGTTCTACAAGTTTGTGTATTAGCATCTGATACCACAAGTATCCCCCTTGTCATTGGGGGGATGTCAATATTTCTATGCTGTAATTATTTCCAGTTTCCCCTGAGCATTGTTCTCCCTTCTTTGTTTCTAAATCAAAGATCTCCTGATAATAAATATTTCTTTTTTTTTAAAGATTTTATTTTATTTATTTGACAGAGAGAGAGAGCAGGAACACAAGCAGCGGGAGTGGGAGAGGGAGAAGCAGGCTTCCCGCCGAGCAGGGAGCCCGATGCAGGGCTCGATCCCAGGACCCTGGGATCATGACCTGAGCTGAAGGCAGACGCTTAACGACTGAGCCACCCAGGCTCCCGATAATAAATATTTCTTAAATGAGTCCTATCTAGGGTTACCGTGTTGCAGATGCTACAGAGATCATGCCAGTCAATGCAGCCAGCGTCTAGGACGCCTGGATGACTCAGTCGGTTGAGCATCTGACCCTTAATTTTGGCTCAGGTCATGATCTCAGGGTTGTGAGGTTGAGCCCTATAATGGGCTCCATGCTGAGCATGGAGTCTGCTTGGGATTCCCTCTCTCCCCCTCCCAACTCCCATCCCCACCCTCCAACCCCTGCTGGTGCATGCTCTTTCTCAAAAAGGGAAAAGGAAAAAAAAAAAAATACAGCTGTGGTCCCTTGCCCTCATGGAGCTCACTGTCTAAAAGGGAAGACAAAAAAGCTAAAGATAATATGCTAACTATGAAGGTGGACACCCCTTTGAGTGCTATGGTACCATTAAGCGGGATATTTAATGTAACAGGGTCGGGGAGGGGAGTGTGGAGGTCAAAGTTCTTATGGGAAGTGACATTTAAGCCAGGAGTCGAACGGTGAGTTGAAGTTGGGTTGGCCAAGAGATTGGCAAATGTTTGTTATTCTT